GTTTAAATTGTTTTCCATCAGTAACCAGTCACCAACCAAAAGTTATTTGTAATTGTGATTAGTTGATACAAGAGAACAAGAAAGAGAAGAGAGAGAGAAGATAAAAGAAAGAGAGAGAAATTGTAAGAAGAAGAGAAAGAGAAGAGAAAAAAGAAAAGAAAAAAAGATCAACAACCAGTTGGTTTTTCCTTTTTCTGGTCATGGTGATTCTTCTGGTTTCCATCGGTTTTCTTTAGTTCCAATTAGGAATTTTCAACATTTTCGCCATCAGTTAATCGTCATTCTCTTTAATTCTAATAATCTGTGTCTCCATTGTCATCGATTACAATTAAAGAATAAGAATTAACAATTCTAAAAATATTCTTTTTGTAGAAAAGAAGAAAAAAATTCTTCTGGTCATCAAAGATTCTAAAGTAACAACAAAGGAAAATTGTGATCACTGTGTTTCTTTGTATTTCCATGTTTATTTTCATCTTTAATTTAGAATTTAATTGTCATGATGATTAATTTAATTGCTTTGATTCAAGTGAATTTGAATTAGTTAATAGGGCAACCGATTTAACAGCAATTAAAGTGTTTATCTAATTCTCATCCTATTGGATCTAATGTTGAAGGTTCTATTTTTTTCTCAGATTTGGTTACCAATAAAATTGGATTGTTTACCTTTTTAATTGTTGAATTTACAATTAAAACCAATAGAAGTATCGATTCTCAATTTAATTATTATTCTAAATTGGAACGACAACAACACAACAATTCACAATTGAACAGTTTTCTTCATCATCCCAAGTTTAGTTCAACAATAGAAATATATTTTCTTCACAATCTTATCTAAATTTAATCCGGTTAATTTAATCCAACTAATCTCATCAAGAAACACCCTTAATCGTTTGGCCAATGTTACCAATCAATTGAAATGGTCGCTGATTCCGATAATCATCAAATTAATGGTGAACCAATGACCATGACAATTAATCATTCCAATCGGGAGATGACCATGTTTATGAATAATATGGATGGTCATCATTATGAGAACCTAAATGTTTATCATTCTAATCATCAGAATAATCATCAAATTACCAATGGTAAAAGTGTAAATTCATATCTATCCAAGGATCGATCTAATTCCGCTAATAGTTATTCATTGGAATCAAATTCGAGTGGTAGTAATACAAAGGAATCTTCATCCTCACCTCTATCTGGTGGTGGTTCTAATGGTGGAAGTTGTGGTGATGATACACACGGAGATGAATTACAATATGGACCTGGAATTGTGGACAAATTGAGATCGAAATTTTTACAATACAGTCTACAAACATCTACTAGAACCAATGGTTACCACCGGTCAGTTGTTAAAAGATGTTCTTCTCTTGAAAATTTGGCCGATAGAGATTCACCTTCATCTTCACCCTTATTCCACCATAGTACTTGTAATGGTAACAATTATGGCCTTCGTAAAGGTCCTAATTATGTTAAATACCATCAACATAATCATTTAACAAGCAATAATAATAATAATAATAACAATAATCATCATCGAAACAATCACAATAACAACACTACCAATAATCAAATTAATCATAATCATAATCATAATCATTACTCTTCACAATCTAATCATACCAAAGGTAATAATCACAATGGTGTTGATTCTGGTATAGACTTAAATGGAAGTGCTGTTGTAATTGGTAGTCCTGATGGTGGTCTTGGTGTTGGTGTTGGTGTTGGTGAGAGTGAGAGTGAGGGTGTTGGTATAATTAATAATAATATTAACAAAGGATCAATTAATGGAAAACATTTCAATCATCATCTTCTACTCCAACACCAACCATAGCACCAGAGAAACGAAACTCTTGTTGCCTCATAGGTTCCCGGACGATAAATGGTTTTACATCATCGTCATCATCATCATCATCATCATCATCCTCTTCTTCATCCTCTTCATCTTCAGGGAGAAATTATAGAAAACATGAACAACAGCCAATTAAAAATAATCATTACCATCATTTAAATCAACATTCATCCATCTATCATAACCACAATCATCGATATAATTGTGATGGACTATTGAAAAGAGCCCAAAGCGTTGAGACTCTCCTATTAGAATCAAGGAACTCAACTAAATCAACAACTTCTAATTCTAATTCTACTTCATCAGCTTCCACTTTCACTGATTGTAATAATATTAATTATAATAATTCAACCACCACCACCACATCTAAATCGACATCCACATCCACATCCCCCACCACTACTACTTCTACCATTTCTTCAACAACAATAGTTGGTGCTAATTGTTATAATTCAAATCTAAATTCAACTCGACTAACTTCACCTACTTGTAATTTAAACTCTACTTCTACTTTTTCGTCCAACATTTCAGGATCTGAAAACTGTGAACCTTTACCATTACCATTAACAGTTTCGTCGACTAATCAACAACAATCAAGATTTCAGTCAACCAATAATAATAATCGAGCCAGTGTTAATTCACCACCACCACCACAAACAACAACAACAACAACAACAATACCAAGTAACAAGGTTAACAGTGTCTCTCAAGTTAATAATCACCTTGTGATCAAGCAACAAGATTTTCTTGATACTGTTGCCACCAACACTCATACCAGCATCTACAATACATGTAAGAAAATGTCCTCGGAGGATACCAATACTATCGTTGTTGATAGTTTACCACCACCAAGTGAAATGAAACACAAATCTTCAACACCATCAACCTTAACCTTAGATAAAAAAATGATCGCTGATATAACAACAGTAAACAACAACAATAGTGATCAAGTTAATCATGGACCCCGGAAATTGGCTCAAGATGAATTACCCAAACCGGATACAGTTAAAAATTGTAAGAAAATATTTGAAACTAATTCAGTTTCACCAACACCTTTAACTGGACCATTGTCACCATCATCATCATCTAATCAACCAACAACACCACCAACTAATGATAACAGTTCAAGTAACATAAACCACAACAACAACAACAACAATAATGATAACCATTCAAATTGTTCACCAAATGAAAGTGATTCCCGCAATAATAATGGTACACAAGCTTATCGTAAAGGTGGAATCTATGGTTCATCTAATAGTGCCATTCGTCGTAAGCCTCCAGTTTTGAGTAGCATCGAGAAAAAGATCACAGTTAATAAAGTAACGATTAATAATAATCATAACACCGCCAACAACAATAATCATAATAGTAACAACAATCGATTGATTAACAATTCAGGAACAAGCTCTTCACCAACATCTCCAGCACTTCCACCAAAACCACCTTTCCTGATCACCAAGAAATCACCTTTAAACGTTGAATTAAACCATGTGAATGTTAACAATTATTCAAGTGCCATAAAGCCAATCGGTAAATTGTCACCAAATGAATCAAATAAGAATAAAATTAACAGTGGAAAATCATCATCAACAATCAATGGATCTAAAGATTCAACAACTCACAATAATAATTCATCAAAAAGTTTGGTTAACAAAAGTAAACCTTCATTGCCATCACAATTAACACTTAAGCCAAAGTTAATTAACTCTAAATCAGATGAATCATCGCCACCTTCATCTCGATCATCTTCCTCATCTTCACCATTGTTATTATCACCATCATCTTCATCATTTGTCCCACCGTCACCTTTAATTTCAAATGGTTCAAAAAAGTGTATCAATGGTGATGATTTAAATTCAACAACAATTAAAAGTAATGATGGTGATACAATTGATGGTTGCCCATTGATTTCAAGTCAACAATTAAAATCAACAAAAATGTCTACAATTAATCAACCATATTCACCATCTCTCGATGAGGAAATAGATAAATCTTTAATCAATAATCACAAGATTAACTCGGATCAAAGATCAACATCAACAGTGTCAACAACAACCAGCTCAATGATAACCAATAAACCAATTGCCAATATTAAACCAATACAATTAGATTTAAATGAAGATCATCATAATCGTTGGAAATCAACAATTAATAACAGCAAATGCGATGAAAAATCAACTGAGAAAGTTTTTCCACCATTGAATGTGACCAACACTCTCAATAGTAATAATCATAATTTAATTACTAAGGATCAAACAAATAATGATTTTAATTGCCTTCCCAGTGAAACTAAGTTAACTTCATCATCACCAACAGCAACAACCATTACAAGTGAATCAACTAATCACCATAATAACAATAACAATAATACTAATAAGGATAGGAATAAAATTAATCACTCTATCAATAATAGTAAACCAATTTCTAATAATAAAAGGGTTGAAATTGTTGAGAAGACCATTAATAATACACCAATGATTAACAAAGAAAATCCAACCAATGGACCAATTAAATCTCGTTGTTATCCCTCATCATCATCATCATCATCATCATCTCCACCAACGATAACATCAACAGTCACATCTAAACCTCAACCATCATCGGGAACCACAATGATTTTTGATTTTCGAGGTAAAAATGTTAAGGCCAATGTGGCCGTTCATAGTCCACCTTTTTCCGTGGTTCGTCCTCCATCATCATCATCAAGTATCGGTGGTCGATCTGATGATAATGAAGATGATTACAATTACACCGGATCAACGGAAGTACCAAAGCCCAGTGGAATCACATTTAAGGGTGAAAATATAATCATCGACGGTGGATCAATGTTAATCAAACGTAATAAGAAGTTAACAATTTCGTTTGATGATAAGGCTACATCGACATTTGAATATCCATCGGAAGCATCATTCATTGAAGAATCCATGACAATCAATTTTGGATCTAATTGCCAACAATTAACTAATCCAGATGAATCTGTGATACAACAATCAACCAATGGATCAAGTCTTAAAAACAATACAACCTTAGGAGGAGCTTTTTCAGGCGGATTGGCTTCATACAAACCAACATTTCTATCAAGTGAATCCACTTCATTTCAATTGGGTGTTTCCAGGGTAATTAAAGGTGAAAGTGATAATATTAAATCATCAAATAGTGATTTAATTAATGATGATGAATCTAATCAATCAGCTGATCAAGATGATACATCATTTGGTATGATTAAACCAGCTGAGCCAAGTGAGACAACATCATGGTCAACATCATCAACAGCACTTGATTTGTTATTTTAATTGGGTCAAAATTAACTAATTGTGCAAATTAAACTTTATTGATGATGATAATGATTAGTGAATTAAGTTAATCAGCAAACCATGAGAAAGAGGAAATGATTAAGAGAGAGGAAAGTAAAAAGAAACCTTTTAAATTGTTTAACAACAACAACAAAAAGAGACCAAATTAATTTATTGTGAGAATCAATTTGGATAATGATGATCAAATTATTGATGGTGATTCTTTAAAATCCCTATGAGTTAAAGAGAAAGAGTATAAATATCATCATGAATTGGAAATAATTGATCAATGAATTTGCGATTGCGATGATTATAGAGAAATCAAAATGAACCAACAACAATCATAAAGGAATGAGTGTTAATTGTGATAAGAGTAACACCCGAAAATAGAAACATCATGAAGCAGATAAAATGATTTGAATCCGTTCAAAGGAAACGGATGATAAATCCTCTTGTTATAATTACCCTTTAGCTGATGTGATGATGTGGATGATAATGGTGATGAGGTAACATGAAGCGCTTTATGGAATCAGATCCGAGATCTGGAGAGAGACGGAAGATGATTAATGTAGAGACGAATGAAAAAAGAAGCTGGTTTGACGAGAAAGGAGAAAGATGATGTTTGGCCTTACAAGCGAATCGGCAACAATTAATGATAAACTTTTGCAAGAATCAACTCCATCGTTTAAATTGTTTTCCATCAACAGTCATCAACCTAAAGTTATTTGTTGTTATTGTGATAAGTTGATGGCGGAAGAAGAATAGAAAAGAATCAGCATTTTCACCATCAGTTGAACAATTTAAAAATATTCTTTTCTACAAAAAGAAGAGAAAAACTCTTCTGGTCAACAAGATTCTAAAGTAAAAGCAACAACAAAGGAAAATTGTGCTCACTGTGATTCTTTAGAACTTTTATCTGGCGGTTGTTCTAATGGTGGAAGTTGTGGTGATGATACACACGGAGATGAATTACAATATGGACCTGGAATTGTGGACAAATTGAGATCGAAATTTTTACAATACAGTCTACAAACATCTACTCGAACCAATGGTTACCACCGGTCAGTTGTTAAAAGATGTTCTTCTCTGGAAAATTTGGCCGATAGAGATTCACCTTCATCTTCACCCTTATTCCACCATAGTACTTGTAATGGTAACAATTATGGCCTTCGTAAAGGTCCTAATTATGTTAAATACCATCAACATAATCATTTAACAAGCAATAATAATAATAATAATAATAATAATCATCATCGAAACAATCACAATAACAACACTACCAATAATCAAATTAATCATAATCATAATCATAATCATTACTCTTCACAATCTAATCATACCAAAGGTAATAATCACAATGGTGTTGATTCTGGTATAGACTTAAATGGAAGTGCTGTTGTAATTGGTAGTCCTGATGGTGGTCTTGGTGTTGGTGTTGGTGTTGGTGAGAGTGAGAGTGAGGGTGTTGGTATAATTAATAATAATATTAACAAAGGATCAATTAATGGGAAAACATTTCAATCATCATCTTCTACTCCAACACCAACCATAGCACCAGAGAAACGAAACTCTTGTTGCCTCATAGGTTCCCGGACGATAAATGGTTTTACATCATCGTCATCATCATCATCATCATCATCCTCTTCTTCATCCTCTTCATCTTCAGGGAGAAATTATAGAAAACATGAACAACAGCCAATTAAAAATAATCATTACCATCATTTAAATCAACATTCATCCATCTATCATAACCACAATCATCGATATAATTGTGATGGACTATTGAAAAGAGCCCAAAGCGTTGAGACTCTCCTATTAGAATCAAGGAACTCAACTAAATCAACAACTTCTACTTCTAATTCTAATTCTACTTCATCAGCTTCCACTTTCACTGATTGTAATAATATTAATTATAATAATTCAACCACCACCACCACATCTAAATCGACATCCACATCCACATCCCCCACCACTACTACTTCTACCATTTCTTCAACAACAATAGTTGGTGCTAATTGTTATAATTCAAATCTAAATTCAACTCGACTAACTTCACCTACTTGTAATTTAAACTCTACTTCTACTTTTTCGTCCAACATTTCAGGATCTGAAAACTGTGAACCTTTACCATTACCATTAACAGTTTCGTCGACTAATCAACAACAATCAAGATTTCAGTCAACCAATAATAATAATCGAGCCAGTGTTAATTCACCACCACCACCACAAACAACAACAACACCAATACCAAGTAACAAGGTTAACAGTGTCTCTTAAATTTGTTATCACCTTGTGATCAAGATTTTCACGAAACTTGTCCGACTTTCAATTCCAAACGGCAAGAACATTAAACTCCGATACCTTCGTCAGAAAGTATAAAGAGATTCGGTCCAACATAAGATTTTATATAAAATATGAAATTCGTTGATTAATTGGAGTGGTGATCGCTCATGAAAACAGGAGAGATTGACAAGGATATCCTGTTCTTTTGACAACAAAGATCAACCTTTCGAAGGTCGGATAATTTGTATTCGTCAGATTATCTCAAACAAGGTCTAATAAGGAAATTAGATTCTTGGACACAACCAACAGTTGACCAAGGGAGCTCTTTACTGCACTTCAATCCAATTGTAAATGGATCAATTTATTCCCAAACTTATCCTAAATTGTAAAACAAAAACCAATCAATTGGTCAAAAAAAAATGATGTAAAAATAATGAATGTTACTTATGAAACAATTGTAAACTATTATATATATTATATATTCAATGAATCAACTCACTTTTCACCTTTGGTTTATATCATGACCTCTCGAAAGCACCATTTGAGAGGTGCTTAGTCATGTAGAGATGACCTTTAGGGTCACAGCTGAGCTGGAATAAACTTGCTCTTGAAAACAATTTTTACATTAATAATTAGTTTCAACGAATCCGATTTGCTATTAATCGAGAAAAATTTTCCACAACAAATATCGATTTAGAAATTGATCATCATTGGTCGATCGTTTCGATTGATCGACCAAAATGTTCGATTTTCTATTCTCTCAACCAATAAATCGAGTGTGAAATCGATACTTGAGTAAACTCTAATTAGTTTAATTTTGTGTCTATTCAAAGATGAAATTAATATAATTAATTTCAATTGGGTTCTAATTATTTTTACCTTTAATCAATTAACCCTTTGTGTTGCATTTATCCAGTTCTCAGTCAGAGGTTCGATTGGTTCCCTATGAGGTGAAATTCGCTTTAAGAAATCATCTAAAATTTTCTCTTCTCTTTCTTCTGATTTTGCTTTGCCAAGAATCATTTTCTTATCTCAAGTTGAGCTTTTTTGTTATTGTTGAGACGAATTCACATTTTCCTTTTTTTTCCTCTGGTAAGTAAAATTTTATTTTCTATTTAATTGCTGATTTGCTTTATTTTTCTATTTCTTTGGAAATTTTCCTTCATGTTTGTGCTTTTCTCATGTTAACCATTTCCACCTTAATTCTCAAAATAAGTGGTAAAGGTAAGAGGTGAGCGAATTTGATTCTTCTGCTTGAAAATCATCTGTTTTTTAGTATGCGCATAGAATTGGGTTGATTCTTTTCATCTTTTTCTCTCTCCTTTTCTACCATCAAGGTTGAATATTCACAAACTTTTCTCAACACCCTGTATTTACCTTTCTGACCTCTTCCACATTCACTTCTCATTTTCAGCTCTTTTTCTCTTTTCATTTGCAATTATTCATCAATTTTTCAAGAGACAATTATGGTCGTCTGCAAATACTATCAAACTGGCTTCTGTAGATTCGGTGATCGATGTCGATTTGAGCATGTTGATCGGGGTAAGTTGAAAGTTTTCTTTGAGAAAATGACCTTTCCCTTTCTCTTTTGGATCTTACCCTTTTTTTTTAATGTTGCTCTCACATCTTTATTTCGTTAATCACCTGATCAAATAAATCATTTCCCATTTAAATGGAAATTTTCTCTTTTATTGTTCTATTCAGTAGATTATCCAAACAATCAAAATCAACGGTATCCTGAACAGTATGTAAACCGATTCCCAGGGTCAACTTATATCAATAACCCGGTTGCTACTGTGGTTACCGGAATCGGATCGGGTTATAACCAACGAGGTCCAATGGTTGCTCTTAAAAAGCCTGACCAATATCATTATGTTGCTTCGGTGTATGATAGGCAATTTCAGCCAAATTGTGGACAATCATTTAACCATCAAAGTAGACCACAACATGGTCATACTGGACACTCAGGAAATGGTGGTGCCAATACCAATAATGGTACAAATGGTTTAGCTCATCAAAGCCATCATCCTCATCAACAGCAACATGGTATCATACCTGTTCAATATTGGCAAGTTCAACAACAGCAACAACAGCAGCAGCAAGTTCAACAACAACAACGTCACCATCAACATCAACAACAGCAGCAACAACAACAAAGGCATCAACAAATGCAATCTGCATCCCTGCATCATCATCATCAGTCTCACTCGAGCAATCAAAGGCAAACCCAAGTAGGTCATCATGGTCAAGGTCAAAGCGGAGGACATCCTGGCCCCTCTGGATCAGGAGTCCAACACCACCAACAATCAGCTGGATTTAGCTTCAATCAAAAGCTTAAAGAGATTGAGTCCAGTCAAAGTAAGAGATTTTTCCTTAATCCTACACCTTAATCGAAAATTTTTTAAGAATCGAAAGCTTTTAAAACTCAATTCATCTTTTAATCCTCTCTCTATCTCTCTCCTTCATCATCATCATCATCATCTCTCTCTCTCTCTCTCTCTCTCTCTTCTTTCTTTCTTTCTTTCTTTCTTTCTTTCTTTCTTTCTTCACCCTTTAGAGCCTCAAGCTGGGTTTAGTTTCAATCGGACTCTTCAGCAAATTCATCAACAATATCAGCCCCATTTAGCTCAACAGGCTCAAAATCAATACTATCTAACCCCAACGCCTATGTTAACTGTTCCTGTTCAAACACCTTATTACGGAGTAACTATGCCTATGCCAATGGCTGCTAATCAATTAGCACCGATGTTTCCCTCAATGTTGCCAACCAATAATGGAGATCCAAAAATGATCACCTCATATTTACCTCAACAACAATCAACCCAAGGCAAGATCTCAATGAATCTCTCCGATGATGATAGTGGTATTTATAGCATAATGAGCTCTCTCACTCCCGAAGAACTGAATCAATATAAGGCTGATAAATTTACATTTCCTCATATTCCAATCAACCCTCCACCAAAGGAACTTTGCCTTTGAAGTTGACACCAACATTCCTAGTCAAATACAATTGATTAAATCAAATGTGAAAACAAATTTCTTTTCTCAAACAAAATAGGAAAATTCAAAATTTACAATTGATACCATTTTTAGTAGTTAAACTAATTTATAAAATGGAAAATCTTTGATCTCTTTTCTTCTATTTCTTATGCTCTCTCTCTCTCTCAATTTCTCTTTTTCTGTAATGTTGAATTCCCAATGTTTTCATTCGTGAGATTGTTCCGAGGAAAATGCTTTTCTCGCCCTATTTTTAGCGAATGAGTTCTTAATTCTGTCTTTTAATTCCAGGAGATAATAAACTTGTTCCCCTCAAGAAAAACCATCTACCTGACAATCAACCATTTCTTTTCTCATTCTATTGAGCAATTTATTTTTCTTTCCATTTAGTTGATCAAATTAACACAATTGATTCGATTTTAATGTTAACCATATTCTCACTTAGAAAATGGTTTAATTGTTAATCGACAATTAAACCAACACACACATACACATCATCAAATTGTTTGCTACTATTTAGATTGAAAGAATTGATTTTGATTAAAATTTTCTTATTATCATGTCGTTGAGTTACTCTAAATATGATTACTTATTATTATTAACTATTAATACAAATAAAACAATTTGTTACAATTAACTTTTCATCTTTTCAATTGAAAAATTTGCTATCAATGAGATGATAAACCTTTTCTATCAACAATGAACAAAAGTTTCCCGAATAAAACAATTAACTTGATTACCATTATCTCTATTTAATGTTGATTGTTAATTGTGAACAGGTCAAGTTTGATTGTTAACTCTTCTTCAACTGCAGTTAGCTTTTCACAAATTAACGTTAATTTTTACAATAGTTATAATTTTCTGCTTAATTGTATTGTAACTAATTCACTGAATGGTAACCTACAAAAAAAAGAGATGAAAAAGAATCAAAATTAATTGTAACAATTGAGAATCAGTAACATTACCATTTCAGTCTAATGAATAATCTCCGTATCAATCTAAACCTTTTTCGTATCACAATTGGATTTATCTTGATTACGAAGGCGTAGGCTGATTAAATTAGTAGTCGTACTTTAATTGTCCACAATTAATTTAGTTTAAATCATTGGAAAGGTAAACACTTTTACCATCATCAAGTATCTCAGGTAAAAACCATAAAGGAGATTAATGATGTTCACTTTGATTGGAATAATTTTCTCATCACTTTTGAAGTTTTTTTTTGCTCAATTAAATTAAATCATTTCCATCTTAATCCATATCATGGTGAGGATGATCCGCCATCAACAATTTAATCACAACCACTTAACAATTTAATTAATTTCAAATGGCAAGTGAAAGTGATTACAAAATCCTAATATGGTTTAGGAGATTTACTTTTAAAGGTAAACAACAAATTAACTTCAATTGATTGCAGTTAAATCATAATCAGTAGAGGTCACCCGATAGAGAGACTATCATCTAATCAAGAGATTTCATCTAATTAACAATTAGAATGTAAATTAAAATCTTAATCATTAAGGGTTCGTCTACACACCTAATCTTGTGAAGAGACAAAAATATTTTCCGATTAAAAAGTTAACCCATTTCTTAATCAATCGTTTTAATTTTAATCATTTCTGTTTTTACCTTTCACAATTATTAGTATTGTTTGTTAATTGTTCACCACACCTTTTTAATTAGCTGTTAATCATGTTCTTATAAGTGGGTTAATCAAATATATTAGTTGACCAGTTGATTGAAAATGAATGAAATGTTTGTAAGTTTATTTTTTGTTTTCTATTCACAAACTGAATCAATTTTTTTTAATTGTATTTTCTTAATTCCCTTTTTAACACCACAATTAAGATACAATTAGTTAATCATCATCTTTAAAATGATTTAAAGGTGAGTAATCCTGATGGAGATTAGTAATTAATATACTTAATTATAACAAGTTATCGGTTTGTTTTCATTCAGATTGATGATTTGATTTTCTGATTTCTTTCATTAGCAATTTAGTTTTGATTGTTTTCTTAATTGTTTCATTTAATTAGAATCATTAGATATTTAGTATATCCACTAATTGTTTTTTTCTTTTCTCAATAACTTTGATAATATTTTTCTCCCATTGGTTAGCTTATTTCAACCAATTTTCAATTCACGGCGAAACAATCAGTTAATTAACAATCGGATGTGAGATTTTCTATTAATAATTTACAATTAATAATGGAAACTAACCAGAGGATGGATACAATTAGGATTCGTAATCAGAATCTACAGTTAGTTGGGGAAAACACTATTAATTGTAAGCTGAACAACAACATGGTAACGACCTGATCATCATCCATGTTAATTGTTACAATGGATTAATTTTTGTTTCCTGTGTACATGATCAATGGATTATCGTAAATTGTTACTTGTAGATTATAATCAAAAAGATGAAGATAATCAAAACCAAATGATCCCAAGTAAAGAGTAATGAAACTGATTGCTCTTTGATCCGATGTAATAGTCGATTGATTAGATGGAAGATCGTTAATTGTGTTTACGTTTAAATAGCAAAAAGATTCAACTTTTCAAAGGTTTAGATAATTTTGATGTTGGAAACTAATTCCAACTTAATTGTTTGACTTTAGTTTTATTTCATATTCTTTGCTTTCTTATTGTTTATGGTAGTTAACATAATTATGATTCTGTTGTTTTCCCGTGATGTTTTTCATGATGCTGAAGATGATGATGGTATAATTAGCAACTTTTCCCAAGGAAAAACTAATTCATCGGTATGAGAATTGACCTTAAATGTCGGGCTACTTGTTAAATGGTCAAAAGCCGAAAGTTTCTTCCTTGATTGGGCTCAACTTTTCTGTTACGATCACTGTAATAATCACTGGGATGATGATGATAATCATAATAACGGTTCTTAACTGTGACATCTCGTAATTGTTATTGTTCAAATTTCCAGGTTACTTGGGAAAGAATGAGAGATAAAAAGATCGCACGGAAAATATTCTCGTGCTGAGGGTTAACAATGATGTAAGAAAACACGCTAGCCATTGATGGACAATTCTTATCACCTTAATTCTTATTCATTCATCTTGAAATTACTCATTTACTCTCTCTCTCTCTCTCTCTCTCTCTGGTACAGGTCATTGCATGTATTTTGAATGACTGACAATTCCCATCAGCATCTATTTCCTCCGATATCAGGCCAAGTTAACTGATCAAGTCTGACGATTCAATTGAATAATAGTTCTCACCTTTTTATCATCATTTTCACTCTCAATCTCATGTTCATCTTTTTTGTTCACAATCAAAACTGAATTTGGAAATAATTTCTATCCTGATGCCGCCGAACTTTTTTTTTTACTCTTACCTGTACTTTTCTTTCAATCTCTTTCTCTATTGTTGATGATTAAATTTGAATTCTTATATGAAATAGTCAATTCAAACATTGAAAAAAGTCCGTATTCGTCTATTGTTATAATTATCAGTTCGTTAACATCTTCATCTTCTCATGACTAACAACTAATCGTTTTGGTTTCTTTTGTTGATCCTGGTTCCACTTATGAACTTTGACATGACCGAAAAGTAAACCGAAATATACAAATGATCACGAAACTATTAATTCTTTATTGTTATCATCAAGATTATTTAAATATCTCATTTTCACCGAAAATCTTAATCATTGCTAACCAATTGATTCAATTGTTCCGTGTAACTTTAATTTCTGATTGATTTTCAGTCCATTTCTTTAATCGTCCCACCAACTATTCAAATTAGATGTTAATTGTAAAGTATTTTTAACAATTTAACTAATTACCGACACTCTTCACCTTCAGTTCCAATCATAATCACTGGTTAATTTGATCAAACTTCAAAAGTTTTCAATTAAATCGCCCGAATTTAGGTTAACCTTTACAATTAAATCGACGAAGAAATTTTTTCTTTTCTAGGTCAATGGTCTTTTCTAATGGTCATTTAATTGTTGGTCAATACTTGGAAAGCCAATGACCTAAGGATCAAGATGATTACTATGATAGAAACTTGTTAAACTAGTTAACTCAAAGACTCTCATCTTTGCCTTAGGGCATTTATCATATTTTTCATTTTACTTTTTCAGAATTTCAATAATATGATATCCGAGCATTTAATTAAAATCAACTGAATTGAACTGAATTATCAAGAAATTGATTCAACATCTAATTGTTGGATCAACAACATCGATTAGAATTACAAATCCCAATGATTACAATCAACAATTAAGCAGTAATTAACTATTATTATTATTATTAGAGAATTGTAAATGAAAAATTCACTTGTAATCATTTAATTATCACTGGTATCATTTTAGAAGTAAATTAATTGCTCCCAGATTATTGAACATCCAATAACAATTAGATTTACTAATCACTCATTTTCCAGGAACAAAATCATTGATTCCATTGATTGTGATCAATTGATGTAAGAATTTATTTATTATCATGATTAACAAAGAGAGAAAAAAATTATTCGTTTATTATCAACAATTAACAACAATCCAGCCTTTTGACTGTTGGGCTTAAATCATAACAATTAACAAACAGAATTATTTTCAATCAAACTTACAATTTCCCAGCGGGACTAAATTAAATGAGTCTGAATGTTATTAACAACCAGTTCCTAAATCAAATTAACATTGATTAACATTAAAATTGAATGTTTTTTATTATTTCCAATCTTAATTGTTCAACGATTAACTTTAATCACCATGAATTTGGAATCAACATTTAATCAGATTTTTAATGTTTATTTATGTTTCCATTATATGGTTAGAATATGATTAATATAATTTGATTGTTTCGTTTCAATTTTGTATTTTAAATTGTTCGGGAATTTTTTTTCTCTTTTTCTTTCAATAGGTTGACCATTGGAGTTTTCCAATTAGAGTTAATTGTTATTATCGATTATCATCCGATAATATCACTGACCACACTTTCCACTCCTGATGTGATCTCTTCCAAAAGTCCAGTTCCATGTTCCATGAATTCATCATGTTCGATGAGACTTAGAATTAGCCTTTGAACTGAATCAATTTCCTCGGCTGTTGATTGTTCATTGTGCGATTGTTGTAATTGAACCGCTTTCAAAATCATTTGTAATTTAATTGCTTGTTGAATTTCTGGTGGCTGAATAATCATTATTCTGTATATTCTTTGTAGCTGTTCAATTGTGCTCGATTGTGATATTTCTCGTCTTAATTGTAAAATTATCAAGTCTTCTGTTTGATCGCCAGTTAATTGTTGATTGGTTACTTTTAATTGATTTCGTAAAGCATTTAGTAGATTCATCAAGGATTGACTGGTTCGATGGTGAGTCGTGGCTTGACCTTCATGCGCTGATTTGATTCGATATTTAGCCTCAGCTGATGATGAACTTTCTAATTGTTGATTATTTAATTTCTTTTCAAGTGCTAAAGTTTCATCTTGTTCTGATTGTTTGCTATTTATTTTTGATTTTGATGATTCAATTGCTTGAGGTTGATCTGCAGTTAGAACTGATTGGATTTGAGATGAAGACGAGGATGAGGATGAGCTCGAACTTGTTGATTCTGATTGAGATAAATTCACTTGTTTTTGATCCTGTGATCTTCGTTGAGCTGCTTGAGACGAGGAATCATCCTGGTTACCTTGAACATTTACCTTTGGAGATGAAGCTGATCGAGAGGGATTGAATGGACTTTGTCCAAATGTTTCCAATTGTTTTCGTTGGTTATTAGTCGATTGTGATTCCCCTGAAGATGCGAACTGTCCTTTTAAGATTTGACTCAAAGTTAATGGACTTTGAAGTGATTCTGAGTGAGATGCAGCTGAAGACGGCGAATCTTGAGATGATGATATTGCAGAAGAAGGTGTTTGTTGTTGATTTATATCGAATTTATCAAGTAGTACAGCAGAAGACGACGATGCTGATGCGTCTTTTTGAGCAAAGATTAATGGTGTCAATCCAACTTCTGCACTAGAAGATGCAGTTGATTGCGCTTTTTTCAAAAGTTCGGAGTATTCAAGAGCAGCGAGAAATTGTGCTTGATTAGTGCTCAATCTCTCAGCTGATTCAGGTAATGAAACTGATTCTCTCCAAAACGGAAATTGTGATTCAGCTTTAGACGAAGAGGATGCGGCTGCTGACGACGACGCTTTAGAAGATAATAACTCTTTCTGAGGCCAATTGTTAGGCGAATCAAAAGTTACATCTGATTCTGATTTCGCGGATGCTGATGCAGAAGATGCCGAAGAATAACTAGTAAATGGCTGCTGATTATTGGGTATATTCCCCATTCCATTTTGGTTGGACATTTTATTTTGGAAATTCTGAGCTAATGCTTGAGCCGCGAGTTCTTGTTGTTGGTCGTAACTCAATACTCCAACTGAAGCTGCAGCTGATGCCGATGATGAAGATGAGTCTTTTAATACTTTTCCAAATGGAGTATCCATCTCAGCTTCTAAAGAAGCGGATGCGGATGCAGATGACGACGATTTAGAAGATATTAACTCTTTTTGAGGCCAATTGGTTGGTGAATCAAAAGTTACACCTGATTCTGATGTCGAAGATGCTGATGCAGAAGAGGACGAATATATCGCGGATTGTTGGTCGGTATTTGGTTTATTCCATTGGTTTGATTGTTCTTTTTGTAAATTCTGAGCTAATGCTCGAGCTGCAAGTTCTTGTTGGTCGTAGTTCAATACTCCAACTGAAGATTCAGCTGATGCCGATGATGAGGAAGAGTCTTTCAATACTTTTCCAAATGGAGTATCTATCTCAGCTTCTGAAGAAGCGGATGCGGACGCAGATGACGATGATCTAGTCGATAATAATTCCTTCTCAGGCCATTGTTGTGAGAGATTTACAGTTTCTTTTGTATCTGAAGAGGCTGCAGCAGAAGAAGCCGTCTTAACGGATTCTTGCACGACTAAAGATTTGGGTAAGATTAATTCAGAACTTGATGAAGAGGATGCAGATGACGTCGATTTAGAAGATGATGATTCTTTCTGTGGCCAATTGGTAGGTGAATCAAAAATTACATCCGATTCTGATTTAGAAGACGCTGAAGCAGAAGAAGCCGAGTAAATAGCTGATTGTTCTTTTTGTAAATTTTGAGTTAATTCTTGAGCTGCAAGTTCTTGTTGCTGATCGTAATTCGATGTCTTAGCTGAAGAATCAACTGAAGCTGATGATGCGGATGAATCTTTGAATGCTTTTCCATACTGAGTGTCATCTTGTGCTTCTGACAAAGAGGATGTAGACGCAGCCGACGATGATCTAGTTGATAATAATTCCTTCTCAGGCCATTGTTGTGAGAGATTTACTGTTTCCTTACTATCTGAAGATGTTGTAGCAGAAGACGCTGAATAAATAGTTGATTGTTGCTCGTTATTTGGTTTACTCCATTGATTTGATTGTTCTTTTTGTAACATCTGAGCTAATGCTTGAATTGCGAACTCTTGTCGTTGATCGTAACTCAATACTCCGGCTGAAGATGCACCTGATCCAAATGATGAGGCTTCCAATGCTTTTCCAAACTGACTATCAACTTCAGCTTCTAACTTAGATGATGCGGACGCAGCCGACGACGATCTAGAAGACGCTAACACCTTTTTAGGCCATTGTTGTGAGAGATTTACTGTTTCCTTACTATCTGAAGATGTTGTAGCAGAAGAATCAGATTTAATTGATTCTTTCAGGACGGATGATTCAGGGAAGATTAGTTCAGAATTAGATGAAGAGGACGAGGACGCAGATGATGATGATTTAGAAGATAATAACTCTTTCTGAGGCCAATTGTTAGGCGAATCAAAAGTTACATCTGATTCTGATTTCGCGGATGCTGATGCAGAAGATGCCGAAGAATAACTAGTAAATGGCTGCTGATTATTGGGTATATTCCCATTCCATTTTGGTTGGACATTTTATTTTGGAAATTCTGAGCTAATGCTTGAGCCGCGAGTTCTTGTTGTTGGTCGTAACTCAATACTCCAACTGAAGATGCAGCTGATGCCGATGATGAAGATGAGTCTTTTAATACTTTTCCAAATGGAGTATCCATCTCAGCTTCTAAAGAAGCGGATGCGGATGCAGATGACGACGATTTAGAAGATATTAACTCTTTTTGAGGCCAATTGGTTGGTGAATCAAAAGTTACACCTGATTCTGATGTCGAAGATGCTGATGCAGAAGAGGACGAATATATCGCGGATTGTTGGTCGGTATTTGGTTTATTCCATTGGTTTGATTGTTCTTTTTGTAAATTCTGAGCTAATGCTCGAGCTGCAAGTTCTTGTTGGTCGTAGTTCAATACTCCAACTGAAGATTCAGCTGATGCCGATGATGAGGAAGAGTCTTTTAATACTTTTCCAAATGGAGTATCTATCTCAGCTTCTGAAGAAGCGGATGCGGATGCAGATGAAGACGATTTAGAAGATATTAACTCTTTTTGCGGCCAATTGAATGGTGAATCAAAAGTTGCACCTGATTGTGATGTCGAAGATGCTGATGCAGAAGATGACGAACTCATAGCGGATTGTTGGTCGATATTTGGTTTATTCCATTGGTTTGATTGTTCTTTTTGTAAATTCTGAGCTAATGCTCGAGCTGCAAGTTCTTGTTGTTGGTCGTAACTGAATGTAATGGTTGAGGAAGGAACGGATATCGACGGAGAAACTTGTTCTCGTGAAAACTCCAAATTGACTTTTTGATCATTAACTTGGCCTTCGTTAGGTACATTATGATAGAATTCAAGTTTAGGTATCACAATGTTCGGATTAACATAATCAGATTCTTTTTTATATTCTGTTCCATCTGGAGGTCTTTTCATTCGTATTTGAGTAACTCGAGAAGTTATCGATGGACTCGAAACTTCCGATGAACTTGGTGTCGGGGAAATTCGTTCCGTTATTTGTGATGGTTTAGTGTCGATATGAGAAGATGGAGATGCTGTTATTGTGATTTTAGATGTTTCAGGTTTGTTAGTTGATTCTGACGGAGCTTTCGTAACTTTAACGGAGATCTGTGTCTCTTGTGTTGGTTCAGTTGTCGGTGAAGATACTGATGAGATGATTGGAGGCAATTGTTTAGTATGAGTTTCTGATGATGAAGAGGCAGAGGGAGATTGGAATGAAGATGTCAATGAATTTGAATGAGGTACTGGTGATGCTTTTGTCTCAAGGGTTGACTGAGGTGATGGTTTCGTAGTCAAGGTTACTTTAGGAGACACAGATGAGGCCGTCGAAGGCAATTGTTTAGTCTGAGTTACTAATGACGACGACGAAGGTTTATCAAAGGAAGATTCTAATGTTGCTCTTGGAGAGAATGATAAGCTTATGGAAGAAGCCTCGTTCGAAGGTTCAGTCGCTGTTGAGGAAGAAAATCCGGATGAAGGAGATAAAGAAGGAAATTCAGTTTCATCTGACACAAGTTCCGAAAGAGGTTCAGTGTTTGGAGAAGCTTTTGATATAGTAGAAGATGAAAGAGTTGATGATTCTTGTGAAGGAACATTTATTTTAGAAGATTCTATTGAAGAAGAGGATGAAGAATATTTTGATTGTTCTTTTTGTAACATCTGAGCTAATGCTTGAATTGCGATCTCTTGTCGTTGATCGTAACTCAATGTAATGGTTGAGGAAGGAGTAGATATCGACGGAGAAACTTGTTCTTCTGAAAACTCCAAATTGACTTTTTGATTATTAACTTGGCCTTCGTTAGGTACATTATGATAGAATTCGAGTTTAGGTATTACAATATTCGGATTAACATAATCTGATTCTTTTTTATATTCTGTTCCATCTGGGGGTCTTTTCATTCGTATTTGAGTAACTCGAGAAGTTATCGATGGCGAGGAAAAGTCCGGTGCACTTGATGTCGGGGAAATTTGTTCCGTTGTTTTTGATGGTTTAGTTGTCGGTGAAGACAAGGATGAGACCGTCGAAGGTAATTGTTTAGTATGAGTTTCTGGTGATGAAGAGGGAGATTGGAATGATGATGTTAATGAATCTGAATGAGACACTGGTGATACTTTTGCTGTCAAAGTTACTAGAGGAGACGAATAAGGTTTCGTAAGAGTTACTGAAGATAAAGATGAAGATACCGAATCGTGTGTAACTGATTTTTGTTGCTTATTAGATGTAGTCTGTTGATCTGCTTGGGCTGAAGTCCACACTCCATTTTGGCTTGACTGTTTACTCTGTGAAATCTGAGCTGATACTAAAGCTGCGAGTTCTTGTTGTTGATCGTAACTCAAAGTCTTAGCCTGGGATCCAGTTGATATCGATGAAGAAACTGTGGCCTTCCAAGATGGAAATTCATGTTCCTCTGATCGGGTTGATGGCGAAGATTTTGAAGAGGAAGCTTTTTCTGTCGATAAAGATATTGGCACAATTATTTCCTCTTCTGATTTAGAAGATGAACTTTGGGTATTCAAAGTATTTCCTTGAGTTTTGATTGTTAATGTTGGGGAAATTCGTTCCGTTATTTGTGATGGTTTAGTGTCGATATGAGAAGATGGAGATGCTGTTATTGTGATTTTGGATTTTTCAGGTTTGTTAGTTGATTCTGACGGAGCTTTCGTAACTTTAACGGAGATCTGTGTCTCTTGTGTTGGTTCAGTTGTCGGTGAAGATACTGATGAGATGATTGGAGGCAATTGTTTAGTATGAGTTTCTGATGATGAAGAGGCAGAGGGAGATTGGAATGAAGATGTCAATGAATTTGAATGAGGTACTGGTGATGCTTTTGTCTCAAGGGTTGACTGAGGTGATGGTTTCGTAGTCAAGGTTACTTTAGGAGACACAGATGAGGCCGTCGAAGGCAATTGTTTAGTCTGAGTTACTAATGACGACGACGAAGGTTTATCAAAGGAAGATTCTAATGTTGCTCTTGGAGAGAATGATAAGCTTATGGAAGGCGAGGGGTTCGAAGGCGAAGTTACTGGTGAGGCGGAATGAGACGGAATTGTGGATGTTTTGTAAGAGGAAGATGGAGTTTTCGAAGATGCGACAGATTCAGATGCTTTCACAGACACCGATTGTTGTTGCTTACTCATCGCATCAGCCAATTCACGAACAAACTGTTCTTGTTGGTTGTTCGCTGTGGAAGCTGACGATGTTGACGAAAAGTTGATGCTTTCGTAGTTGGAAACTGAGGTATATTCACTTGAGCTTTCAACGAAGAGGGCGAAGAAGATTCTTTATGAGAAAAAGATTTCGGGAGAGTAACTTTTACCTCTGGTTCTGCAGATGCTTCAGAAGAAGAAGATTCAGAACTGGAAGATTCTTTCATGGATAAAGATTCTGGTGAGAATAGTTTAACTTGTGATTCGGAGGAAGAAGATGTTGCGGAAGAAGAGGACGAAGAAGAATAGAAAGTTGCTTGTTGCTGAATTTTCGGTAAATTCCATTGAGCTGATTGTGCTTTTTGTAGCATTTTATTCAATTCAAAAGCTGCGACCTCTTGTAGGTCAACACTCGAACCTCGAGCTGATGATGAGGCCGAAGAAGAGGTCGATTCTTTCCATGGTGCAAATTGTTGTTCAATCGCTTCGACGATTGATGATGAGGATAATCCTTGATTCGGAAAAGACACTGGCACATTTACTTCCACCTCTGATGTCGACGATGAATCGGCAGGTCGGTTGACCAGAATACCGAAAGGGTTAGTTAGCAAATTGTTGTTTCCCTTTCAAAAAGAAATTACAAATGATTGATTAGTGGAAATGGAAAAATTTCATTTTAATTATCAATTGATTTTTACCCGATTTTCGATTGATGAAACAATTGGATTGAGTCCAGTTAATTGTTGACCAAACCCATTGGTCCATTGTTGATTCATTGCTAATGACTGAGTTGGATTCCATAATTGTTGTTGATTTGTGTTAATTTTTGATTCAATTTTTGATTCTATTGAATCAATTGCTGTCTTGATTTTTTTCCTGGTTTACGACATTTACGAGCTGATTGTGATTGATTAATTAGGCAACAAACAATTAAGAAAAACAATAAGATGAAAATTTTATCATTCATATTAATTTGATTCAATTGTGAATAGATTTAGACACTTTTAGAAAAAAAGATTGACAATTAACTTTAATTGCTGTGACTAAATGAACCATTTAGTTTATGAGGAACAAAAATTGAAAATTAATTGGCTTTGGTCAATTTAATTGTAACTGATCAATTTGTAACAATCAGATTTACCAATTGGCCATCAATTTATTTTATTAATTAATCAAATTTGACATCGATAGTCAACAATTTAGAGACAATCTTAATCAATCTGATTCTATCCAATTGTTATTGTTGAAAATTGAAGCAATTAAAAAAACTTTGGATAAACTTAATCAGTGGGTTAACTAACAATTTAACTCTGGTTTTTAATTTAAATTATAAATTATAAAAAACAATGAAAGCAATTAAAACGCTAAATTGTCAGATCATAAATCACAATCACTCAATTGATTAGCATAAATTGTAAAATGTCAATTGTTTTGTAAATCACAATTAACTGTTTCTGATAAATCAAAAGTTGATCAAATGTTGTAATCAAATTAAACACCAGTCAATAAGCGTGTTAATCATGATCAATAAATTTAAATTACTTTTTAATGATTGATTATTAATTTTGTTTCTCTCTATATCAACAATCAAGATGAATTCATTGAATTAAAGGTCACAATTAATATAGATTGTTGTTAATAACAAAATAACAAATGATTCTGATTTAAATATATTTACAAAATAAATGAAATCAATGGTTATGTGTTTGAGTGTACAACAATTAACGGTTAATTGTCATGTTAATTGCGCCATATTATGAATTTAAATTCATTACATCCAGGAGACGGCAGTGAATGAGTATGATAATATTAATAGTTTACATTATGATACAGTTAATTAACACAGTTGCAGGTTTAAGTGTTGATGTTGATTAATTAGATGAGGAAAACAATCAATAAATCAATAAAGTTAAACCTAATCAATATTAACACGTACAAAGATGATGGTAAATAAACTCTAATTGTAAACAATCAGTGTGTTTGCTAACTTAATTACCATTCAGGTTCCTCTTTAACTTTAACAATTTCATCACAATTATCGATTATTTCTTCCTTAATTTGATTTAATAACGAAACTGAATCAACCATTGGTAATGGTAAAGAATCAACATCGTCAACTTTTTCCCTTTTGATTGTAATTCCTGAGGGTAGATTTGATTGTGAGTCTTGATCATCTAATAGATTATCATTGTCTGATTGTTGTTCCTGTTGCTGTTGTTGTTGACTGATTGAACTTGTACCTTCACCAGAATCACAATTAGCTAATCGTTTTCGTTTTAATTTCACTTTCAATAATCTCTGAGAAACACCAGCGATTCCTTTGATCTCTTTCCTATCTAGATCAATGCTCCTTTTGATGTGTCTTCGTTTACCAGGAATATCTTTACGAAATTGAATCATTTTCGTGAAATCAATTACATAAGTATTACTGTAGTTGGAAAATTAGAAAACAAGTTAATTGAGTTGACAAATCAATTGCAATTGTAAACAACATACCCAGCAATTAACACTTCACAAATGGGTCTCTTATTTTGATAGGCATTCTCCATGTAGCCATTTGTGATTCTATCAAATAGCCAATAACCATTTCGACCTTGGTAACTCCACTTTGCCGATTTAGCCGATAATTGGATTGATTTTTGCTTCAAATCAGGAGCAATGAATACGGAACTTGGATAAGGCTGAAAGAGAAGACAATTTTGTTAGAAACAACAAAGAAACAAGGAGAGAAAAAAAATGTCACCAATTCTAAAGGGTAAGAATTATAGACATTCTCATCGTTTTGAGGGTAATTAAAAGATTGTCAATTGGCCATCGACATGTTGGAAATGATTGAAATTGATTAACAATCAATTAAATTACCTGACGACAAATGGGACAATTCATATGAGAGGTTGAAGATCCTTTTAGACACAAGTAACAGAAAACATGATTACATCCCAATACTATGGGAATATTTGGTTTACCCAAGCAAACGGGGCAATTGGAAGGATCTGTCATAATTAGGAAACTTAATTATCACAAAAAGAAATGGGAAATTTAATTAATTACAATCAATTAGATTGAGATAATCGGTTCAAGTCTAAAGTGACAAAACAGAAACAACAAAAAAACTGAAAAAAAAGTCTAAACATATGATTGACTTTTACCCGCGAAAATCAAGAATCAGCTGAGAAATTTTCTTTTCTTTCAACAATTAATTAATTTGGAATTAATTAACAAATTTCCATTAAATTACCTCAAATACTTTAACAACCTTCAGTTAATCAGTTTTACAATCGTCTTATTGGTTTAATCGTTGATTTGTTTGATTAAAAGTTAGAAAACACCTTGGATACATAATCATGAATTTCCAGTAATTAATTTCGTTGATTGTTGATAATTAAATTGATTATTTTTCTTTTTTTCACTTCTATTAATCTTAAATAATCCATTGAATTAACTATTCAATGGATTAAGCAATTAACTTTAGAATGTAATTTCCATTTGAAAACAATTGATCAACATTTGTTTTTCTGTAAAGAATCACAATTAGTTGATTGTTCATTGATTGTTAACCAACTCAATCTTATGGTAATTAATGGAATGGGATAAAACAACCAATTAAGATGATATATTTTCCAGCAAAAAAAAATGTCTCCTCATTTTCTTGGATCAGGATTATCATTCGGATCAAATTAATCGTTTAATCTGATGAGATTAAAAGTAGACAAGTCAAAGTGTTTATAATTAGATTGAAACAATTAAGATGGTAAAAAAAGCTACTGGTGATTAGTTTTAATCATTTGATAGGGTTAATGAATTGGCCTTTTTTTTGTATTCGGGATTTTGATTGGTTTCTATTGATTGTCGGGGTTTTTTTTGGAGTTTCGTTTAAATTGTTTCATCTGAATTAACCATTTTTTCATGGCCGATTTAACTTGATTGGTTACAATCAAGAAGATGATGATAAAGATGATGATAAAGGAGGCTATCACCAAATATCGGTCAAGTTAAACTATTTTCGGCCACTATTTTTGGACCAAAGTGACCTCATTTCAACGGAATAACAATCAACCAAGTCTTTGGTTTAAGTTCATTTTCATCTCGTTCGTTGCCGTGTTAACAACAATCAACATCTTATCAACAATTAACAATTTTCTATCTGTTTCTCTGATAACAATCAACTAATTGTCTAAGACAAAAAATGAGTGAATTAAAGTACGACGATCCTGATATGGAAAGATTAAATTTCTTCTCAATAATTGATATTCTCGAATCATTTGATTGGGTTGATTTGGAGTATTAACAACTGACCATTGGTCAACAATCAACTGCGTATCAATGAAGTTAATTCATTCATTAAGTTTCCATGGAAGCAACAAAAACAAAACTTTAACCAATCTGTAAGTAAAACTAACTAATTACAATTAAACAAAATTCTAAATCAATAAATCGTAATTCTCATTCAATTAGATATCAATACCTTTCCAGTTGATCACCAAAAACAACAACAACAATTAACTTCCATGATCCCATTAATTGTTAACCCATCGAATACACAATTATCCTCAAAGAAATACAATTGAATAAAATAAAAATTATTATGATTTAACAAGAAAAGTGAAAAGTTAATTAGTTTATTTCATTGAAAACTTTGCTGATCCACCAACAATTAACTTAATCTCGTCTCTCTTATCATTTCATATGTAACCAGACAGGGTTAATTCAACTGATTCTGGTTCCACCGGATCAACATCATGAAATCAACGAGTGATGGTTAGTTGTTAAATTGTCCAGAAAAGTGAATTAACTTAACTACGAAAACAAAAACTGGTTAATTGTTGAAAGTTCACTTAATGTAACCAGGAACCGGTTCTCTGGTTGCATTGTTACTTGTTCTCAATCTGGTAACATCTCGGGTTCTCAGTGGTTCTTGTATTCACCTTGGTCACTTTTCCATCTTCATTTTGTATTGTAACACCATTAGAATAGTTAATTGTTGTCAAACAATCGCCATTAGTTAATAAATTGTTCTCTAAATTGTCAACTATCTTTTTCAATCTTCGTTCTTTTCAACCAAATGATGTTCATCAAGTGACAACTTACCAACAAGTCAATTCTAAATTGTAAGTAGAAAACGATACATGTTGATTTCTTCATTGTTGATTAATTGTATCTCATCTTAATTGCAACAAATTTAATTGTCTTCATCGACTTAATTGTAATTTGTGAATCACTTCAATGTATCTCATCAGGTGATAATCTTACCTTTACTTTCCTAAGGCGACTTGAAGTCAATACTTTTGGCTGTTTAATATTCATTTAGCTGGATATTCAATGTTTCCTCTTTAAATTTAACTAATTTTCTCATTGATTAACTAATTAAATGATTGGATGTTGGATTATCAATGGTTATTAACGTGACATTAATCGTTTAGAAAAATTAATTGTTCAATTTACACGCAGGTAAACATGAAAATCATTAACCATCACAAAGAAGATGTTGTTTATCATCAATTAACCTTCTCAAATAATATTAGTTATCTTAATGTCTTTAATTGTTGACAGTTAATTATTTCATTGTTTCCATTTGATTGTTTATCATGTTCAACATTTCAGAATTCATCATTCAAAGTAATTCATCAATTCAAAGTAAAGGAAAACCAAATAGTTATTCATCTCAGAGGATGAACATTACGTTACCCACCATCTAGAGAGTGGATTTTTGGTTAAGGCAGAGAGATGAAGATTATCAAACCCACACTGGTGATGGTTCAACCTCCAAACCTAAATTCTGAAAAAAGAATAGAACAAAAAAAGCTCAGAAAAAGTTCCAATTCAATAGAAAGTTGAAACAACAACAATCTCTCTCTCTCTCTAAAAATAAGTTAACCTTTTTTTCAGAATCCGACAAGTTACATGGAGAAAGACTTTGCAAACACCAAGAGATTGTCTTTTTTTGAGTAAACAATCAATTCACCATCATCTTGATTCATTCATTCAGCTAATCAGTGATTAAAAGTGAATTAAGGTGAACATTTGATTGATATTATTCCAAGTGAAAGTGATACAGATTTCTCAACATATTCATACCTGTTTCAGGTATTGACCATCAAACAGGTTATCCTATTAGAGTCCATCTTTTTACCTGTGTACTTTTTGGTAAATCTTGTCCTTTAGTTACTATCCAGTGGCTTATCCTTGATAAACCCCTTAGGCAATTATCGTAATCTATGATTTGGTCTGGAGGAAAAGAGACTTTAACTATCAAATCCACCTTGACTTTAGAGAATCAACTAATTAACTAGATAAAGTTTCATTTTCTTTGATAATTGTTTCGTAATTAACTCTGATACCATTGGAAATATTTTTCATTCAGACTTGTGAAATTTTCGTTTCATTTTATTGGATTAACTTAATTGTTTCTCGATTGTTTCATTTGATTATAAGTTTTTCAATCAGTGATATAAACCAACAATTAACTGCTTCGGTTTTTACCACTGACAATCAATAACTATTCAATTTCCTTGTGTTCAAATCTGCCTAGCAATCGATTAGAGAGGTAAGTTTAATTAACTTACTGATCGTCACAATTTAACTTAGATTTAATGATTTGATCCTCATTAATTTCAACGGTAACCTTGAAAGTTAATTGTCCACTGATAATTTAACTATTAGAATCTGAAACTCATTGGGAAATGTTTGTCAATCAATTCAATGTAATTAAACTAATCATCACATTGGAACAATTAACATTAACAAATTTGAAAGTTAAATTAAATCCCATTAAGAGTAATTAAATTTTCACCAAGATCTTAATTTATTCATATGTCTTCATTTGTTGATCACTGATTAGATCATAATTGTTGAATGTGATAATTTGAATAACTAATCAATGACAATTAACCCACGTATCTTAAACAACCACAATTAACAATCAAGGTGAACATTTTGTCAATTGAAAGTATTAACTTTTTAATTGTTTATCCAATTTCCTTAGAGTAAATTTAATTGCTAAGGAATTGAGCTAATGATCAACCCTGGGGAAGCAGACATTATCTCATCAGTTGGTTAATTAAATTTACAATTAGTTAATCATGTTCGAGGATAAATCATTATTGGCAGAGGAAAATTATGAATCAATCACAACGGGCGCTTCTAATGATGTGGCCATTGATATGGAAAGTAATGTACGAGGGTCAATTGGTCGAGGAAGTATTGTTCAGCCCACTTTCGATACATCGGAGATTGTGACCTTACCTCAGCCGTCATCATCATCAACCGATTCCACTCTGAAACCGATCCGTGAACCCATTTTGGTACGAGAAGCTGTGACTTCAGTTGAATCTCGTTGCTATGGATCACGACCTGAACATTTTGATATTGGAATTCGTGTTATCGAAGCCGCTCAACTTCCTGGACTTGACATTAATCCAATGGTTCGATTGATGGTCGGAGATCGCAAGAAAACAACCACAATTCAGAAATCAACCAATTCACCTTTTTGGGATCAATATTTCGTCATATCGTTCAATCAGCCGCGTTTAGAAATATTTCAAAAAGTTATTACGATTACGGTTTACGATTCAAAGGGACTTTTGAAATCGGACGAGGTCATTGGTCTATTTTCTTGTGACATTGGTACCGTTTTCTGTCAGCCCGGGCACTCGTTCCATAGGAAATGGGCGCTTCTAACTGATCTCGAAACAAATGAGCCTCGAGGCTACTTGAAATTGGACATAAATGTACTGTTCAAAGGTGACAGTTCACCTTTATCGGGAACAATGGACGATGAAGATTCTAAGGAGTCGGGAGAAGACGAAGATGACCTCGAATCAGATAACGTTGGATCTGATGAATCTGATATCGAATCGAATTTACTATTCCCGGTTGGTGTTACCGAACGACAATCCATCAAACTGGTCATCAAAATTTATCGAGCATATGGACTCACTCGAGCCGATTCAACGGTCAAAAAGGCTCTTAATATCATCTCTTCGTCCTCATCAAAGTCACCTTGTGATGCTTATGTCTCGGTTTCGTTTGCGGGCTCAACTGGACGGACTTCGGTCATTAAAAAGTCATCTTCACCCGTTTGGAATCAGCAAATCACTTTTGTCGAAATGTT